CCCCCCCCCCCCCCCCCCCCCCCCCCACCACCTTCTAACCAGGTGATAGTGCTGCATTCATGACACCTCGTCACAAGTGAATCTATGAATGATGGCTTGAAAGTCAAACTCCAGGTTCAGTGTGTGGCGATGGAAACAACAGCATGAAGGAGACGCCTGTATATTACCGGAAGGAGAAGAGTCTAGTTCTAAGGACTCTATTATTTATGTTCGTATTGTGCTTCCATGTTGCAGATTCCTAAATACGATTGGTAACCCTGGTGATCACTCCGGCCCTGCTGTTAGACAACGTACTATTTGATGTATTTTCATATGTAAACACATTTGGGTTAGCATAATTGTAATCCATGTAAAAGTAATTAAGTCTTATATTTATAAGCTTTCAGCACGTAACGGATGACGGAGGCATACAGTTTGAAGGCATCTTCAGTTTTAAGCTCTGTTACATTTAGTTCTTCAGGGAACCATTTGGTCAAACAGCATGTTGCTGCTGTAGTTAGTGTTTGGTAGATTATTTCTCTGTTGTAACAATGCTTCTTGGCAGTAAATCTTATACTGTTGGAAAGCCGGTTTATTTCCCTTTTTAAATGGAGCCACATTCATAAGGATCATGCATTTGTGGGATGAGCAGCAGAGCTGAGTATGTGGGTTGCGCCCATGAAAAATTTGCCAAATCTTCTCTGCCAATGCCGAGTGGAGTGGAGAGGATGGAATGGCCTGCAGCAGTGTGTGAGCAGGCTGGTGACCAGCATGAGGAGGAGGAGCCAGGCTGTTGTGGCTGTGTTTGGTTCTTCCACATGCTACTGAGGCTCCTGTTTGTTAAATGAATACATTGTTAAATTGCCAATATGTCTTGTTTCTTCAGACTTCAATCATCCAATCCACCAAATGGGAGTTAATGGCAGAATAAGCTGGTTGGCATTGGCCATTTTTATGTTTATAAATGCTGGAAACTCATTGTAAAAAAACAACCTGTAAAGCAGGAGAAGTCCCTCCTTTCTTCAGCCTTGTGACAAAGGCGTGGTTTAACCTTTGACCCCACCGCCTTGCTTGGTCCACTGTTCTCACTGCCTCACAATCACTCGGGTTAGATCAATTCCAGAAATCTTAATTTCACAATTTGTATGATTTGTTTTAATGCAAACTAATATCATACAAGTGCAAATTGTCAAAGTCTCAAAATGAGTCAGTTTTTCAATCAGGAATTGTTGCAGCTAATCCATGTGTAGTTTTTGGATGGCGTATATTTTTCTCTTCCTGGATAAACAGCAGGTGGATGCGGCAGGTTGGGTATTAAAACCAGAAAATTAGATCTGTTCATGCCAAAATAAGTGCAGGGAACATAAAAGTCTGGTGAGTGTTAGAGAAGATGTGTCCTTTCACATCCGCCTTGAAGGCAATACTGCATGTTAAGGCCCTGACACACCAGGCGGATGGTTGGAGAGTGTCCGTCCACTTAGTTTACGTGGCGTGCCAACACAGACAAACTAGTGCTAGTCGCTCCGTGTCGGTGGTTTATCGACGGCGGAGCACCCGTGGGAGAGAGAAATCTCTCTGAATGACTGTTCAGTTCAAGCAATTCAGTGCCAGAGAAGGGAAACGGAAATGAGGCAAGCAAACAAGTAAAGTCAAAAGGCCACACACAGAAAACTCTTCTGAAAAAGCCAATCCTATTTTCACACCGACATGGCCATTTGGTATGAAGCCAAGTGCTGAGCGCACCGCTGCTGGTATGGAGAGTTGCGTCCTTTCATGCAGGTGCAGAACGTATGTGCTAGTTGGTTGTTGGCTGAAGGCTTTGCGGTGTGTTCAAGTGCAACTTTTTGCCCAAGACACAGGCAACTTGAGGTGATGAAACAGTCTGCCTTCATCGCTGCTAGTTCTTTGATGTGTGTCTTGGTGTTTAGAGCTATAGTCCTTTAGTCACAGCAGGACTGTGATAGTGTGACAAAGAGCCAACATGCGCAACACAACAACCCTCAAACTGAAGCGACTACATGGAATTCAGCCTTCATTATTCTTCCGATTTATTTATTATCATTATTACTTCCACCTGCGCTCTTCCTACTGTGACATGTCAACGTGTTCAAGTCATAGAATGTCTTCGTGATGTTACCGGCGGCAGTACATTCGTAAACTTTAGCCCTTTCAAACATGCACTACATCATTTAACTACATCTTTATGTCACACTCGGGTTTGAATAATCTCACAAGTCACTTTTCCGTAAAGGTCACGGCACATGTCAGAATTGAATGCGTTCGCATTATGGAAAGGCTGCTGCAGCACAACATTATATATTTAAAATGTTTACCTTGCCATGAAAAGAATAGTCTCCTCAAACCCTCGCCAAGGAAAGGAATTAGCATATTTCTCAGCAGGTGGTCATCAGCAAAAGTTCACCTTCACATACAGTATGTTAGCAAACAGGAAATAAACAAGAGTTACAAGCTACGGTCTTGTCAGTATTTTATACAATTCTGATCCATACATAATTACATAATGGTGAGAGAAGGTCAGCGTCAGCAATTACGGTTTTAATATGAACAGAAGTTTCATCATTGATGTAGTGTGGGAACAGATAGAGGCAGACATTAACACCAATGCCTTCTATTTAATAAACTCAAAGAATTAGAAACTGAAGAGTGGAGTATATTGATAATTCCTCCCTCAGGACAGTTTATAGCATGAGGAATGGCTGTCGAGGATGGCTCATACGAGTGGCTGATTTAGTGGTCATTAACTCCAAGATGGTGGCCAGGTCACCTCAGTTTTATATGCCCTTTGGAAGTTCAGGCAGGGAACGGCTGCATTGATCTGCTGGTCATCTGGGTTCCAAAAAGCAAATGCATCCGGGGAATGTGAGGTGGATCATTGTAAATCTAATCTGCAGGAGTGGAAGAGACTGAAACGCTGAGGTCAGCTCCCACAAACAGAAGCAGCAGCCTCTGAGGCGACTCATCACAAAGAGTCCTGACGGCAGAACAGGGACCAACTGAACCTCATGTGTAATGACAGACCACGTACAGGAGCCTGTGACCTACAGAGGGAATGTCCACTGGCAGTAAAGCCATTATTTATGAGGATTAGACATAAAACTGAGCAGTCCAATAGCCCAGGTTTGGAAGCACTGAGTTAATCGATCAGAGAATTGATTGATAAATAAATCTAACTAGTAAAAAACAATACCAATATGTCTGTTCTTTCATTAGATTATGTCCCTCTGAAACATTTCTAAGAAAATGAGTTATTGTCCTCTTTGAAGAAAAGCTAATGAACAGCAGCATAGAAACGTGATATTTTAACATCAAATGGAAGGTATACTGTAATCCCTGACTTTCGTATTGAGCATCCCTCATGATGTTTTTTTCCCTTACTGACACACATTTTTGTCAGTTTTTATTGAATACATCAAGTAAACGACTGCAAAAAAAAGCCATATAGGTCGCTTTTACAAGCAGCTTATTGCGACCCATATTTCCGTTTGTTTGTTGAGTGTCAAAGTCTGATGAGGTCGTGATGGATGTTTGGGTCAAACAACCAGGACTTCCCCCAGGAGACCTAAGTAAGTTAACTTGTGTAACGTACTTGTCCTTTATGTACCTACGTTACATAACAAATGTATATATTTTTCCCCAAAAGAGTAAACTTTTCCTAAACCTAACCACATGGTTTTGTTTCCATTCACATTTTAGACCATGCGTTTAAAACTGCGACCGTTTCACAGCGTGTGCCCGTCTCTGGTTCAAAGGTCAGTTATGTGGTTTTAGGAGTCATCAGCAAATGACCTATTCTGTAATTTTGAAAGGAGGGCATAAGACCAAAGCAGCATCATTTCTACTTGGTCCGTGGGTTCACCATAGAAATGACATGCGGCACATACATAAATATAATTCTTCCTCCACCAAACATGCACTTCATGTGGTCTTATTTATCAGTAACAGGATTCCAAATGTTTTGGCAGAGAAAAGGATTTGTGAGGAACTGTTGCTCCTCCTCTTTGGTCTTCTAAGGACTCGTCATTGAGAGCAACTTTTATGGTCGGAGAAATTCTTTAAAGTGGTTTGGCTGCTTTCAGGCAGGATGAGGCAGCTGACTTCATGTTGGCCTACAGACTGACGCGCCAAAGCTCCGGAAGAAACAGAAAAGGAGGGGCCTCCATTAACTCCTATCTGAAATGTAGAAGGGGTCCATTGGGATTGAGTTGTTCTGGCTCTGTAATATACAGTGTATTTAGTACAGGCAGAGAGCCGGTGAAGGTCTGGAAGTGTTTTGGAAATGCTTCGGTTCCCTCTTTCAACAAGAAAATGGTTGTTCTATATTCTCAATACTCAAGGGAATGTATTGATGCTGTAACTTGCTTTGTGAATCTGTATGCATGTATATTTGGAGGGGAACCAACCGTTGGGCCTATTCCTGTTTTTCTTGAAGCTCTTTGTTTGAAGAGTGGAGAGGTTTGGCCTCTGTGGCAGAGGGGGGAGGGGAGCTTAAACAAAAGACATGCCCTTTGTTACTCTAATGTTTAGGGAAATGCTGAAAACAAGCCACAAAAAAATGGCTCATCCGAAGTGACATTGAATCAAATTAGCATTTTAGCTAACAACTTGGGCTTGTTTTAAAGGGCTTGGCCACATGTTTGTTAGAAGCAGGAGAGCCCAGAACACAAGGACAAACATGGTGTATCAGACTGCCTGAGGCTAATTTAAGATCACATTTTCACTTTCAATTCACGTTGGCTGTCTGAGAGATACAACATGCTTTTATTCTCTTAACATCAGTGTCAAATGGAGTTTTGTTTTTTGTTCATCCAAAGCAGCTATTTTACTATTTGGTCTTTTAACAGAAGCAGCTTTCTAAAGTCAATTTCATGTTGATCGCTGTGTCATCTTCTAAACGTATGGTTTGTAGAACTCCAACTGTTGTAATGTGGTGTAGATTTGAAATTGGAAAAACAACATTCATTTTGTGTCAACTGACACTATTAAATAGCGTGCGCTCAATTGTTGCACGTGCATGCATCATTACATGCTATATACATGTATAAACGCGTGTCCTTGTCGAGAGCCTAAGAAGTGGTACTTTAGCATTGTGTCTCATGGGTACGGCAGCACGCTGTCCTACACGTCCTGACGAGGGGCCCCCAGCCTCGAGGCCCAGTCAGGGAGCGCCTCCCGCCACACGACTGCGGATAACCAGCAAGGCTCAGCTCCAATTGACTTCAAGGTTAAAGGCAACTTGGCTGATTATGCTGTTCATCTTCGCCGCTTGGGAGGAAAGCTGCTAAGGTCAAGGGTGACATATGGCAGCCCCCCCCTTCACAGCTCAGGTTTGACTTCCTATTTCCATCAACAAGCAAGGTTATGCCATTCAGACTGAAATGATGTCAACAACTCTCCTATATGTTGGTATGCAGCAAACATTAGGGTTACTTTTGTTAGAGAAAGTATCTCACAATGACCTCAGAAAAATATCTTCAACCAGGAAAGTATTGCTAATAAAAACCTGCATGTATATAGTAGGATTAGTTGGGTTTACTCTTTTATTCCCTAGCAGTTAACTCCCGGTGAACTATAAAGAATATTAATGCTCAAATCTGCATGTAAACACAGATCCAATTACAACACCGTGGCCAGGTCCGTCCTCTACGCCCTGCCTTTGACACGGTGACATATGGTAGTAAACTCTCATGGTATTGGAGTAAAGTAACCTGGGAGATGGCGAGGCTGTCTTTGATCACACCAACAGGTTCCACTTGTCATATTTCTACCTGCTTACCAACCTGCCTGACGTGAAGGCTCATCTGCTGTTTCTGTGAATCTCTCTTTATGTTGTGTTTGAATGTGAAAAGCTTCTCATATGTGACTTAATGCAGCCGGGTCATTAGCATTCTCATGGGGGGTTGGGTCCCGGAGAGCTTGGGGTGGGGTGCTGCTGCTGCTGTGAGAGTGAACAACAAGTGTTATTAGTAGGGTGGAGCTGTGGAGAGGGGCGGGCTGGGAGACTGGCCGGATGATCAAGACCGGCTTGTCCACTGTAGTGTGAGGATCAGGTAGAGAAGAGGCTGCTGGCTTCACACAGCATCAGGTTGGCTAGTAGAGCTTAGGGTGAGGCACACCGGTGAAACACTGGATGCTTCTCGCTATGGCCCCCTTACCAGGCCACTGGAGGGGATGAAGGAAGAGAACCCACTGGATGGTAAGACACCTCTGTAGCTCTCACAGGTTTTAAGTCTGCTTACCAACATATGGGCAGAATCATGTCAGAAAATGTGAAATTCAGCTTTCCTACAAGGTGAATTTCAATTGGATGGCCATTCAGGTCAAAGGTGCAAGTAGGACACTGGAGAAGGGTTCTACTACCTTGTTTGTAAGAGTTGGGATTGGTTTGTTCCATAGCTTGTTATCTTACTCAGGGCAGTATAGGTAAACAAAATGCCAAAGGAAGCAGCCACCAAAGTATCCAGTCTAACATGGGCAACATCTTAATTGAATGTGAACTATGATTGATCAAAGAATAAGTCGACTACATTATGAATCTTACCAAACATTTAATGTTGGCATTCAGTACTTGACAGTCTTCAGTACTCTGTGCCACAGACGTGTGTCAGCATCAAAAAGTACCTGCGTTCATTACGAGTTCTTTTACTTTTAACAGTATTGATTCATTGTTTCAATCCATGTTCAGAATATGCTGTTGGAGTGACTAAATGTATCTTTGGTATACAGAAGTATTTATTCTCATTATTGGATAAACTAACAATCATTTTCTTAAATTCACTTAGTGATATTTTTTTATTTAGAATAAGGAAATGGACACAGAACATAGGGATAGAGGGGGGGCGACATGCAAAGAACGTCCTGGCCGGAATCGAACTAGACAATGCAGTTGTGAAGTTTGCCATTTTGACCACATCTGACATCCACTTTTGAATGCAGTGTTAGTCCCACGTGAGGAGTGTATTGGACCAGAGGAGGAAGAGGACCCACCTAGCGTCCCACTTGTCTCCATCTCATTGGCCCTCAGCTCCTCTTGCTCACTCTGCTCAGTTTGTAACCCGTCAAGATTTGAAACTTCAACTTTACCATTCGTCCCTGATGCACTAAGTTCTTCAATTTGCTAATGTCTGTGTGTTTTGTCAGCTTGAACCTGTTTATGTTTGGACATGCACTTTGGTCCGCCTCAGAATTGCCAGAGGCATGGTTAAGGGGTGGGGAGGCTAATTTGGGTGAGGGCTGGGAGGGGAGTAGTATTGTTGAACGGCAGCGAAAATAGGACTATCAGTTCCACTCAGATAACCCCTAGCTGTCATTGGACCTCAAGCCAAGCCGTGACCCCAGGGCTTGAACTCTGTGGTCATGTGACCAGGCAATAAAGTGACCAGTGGCGTTGCTGGGCTCTGGCTGTGGTCAGAGAGGGACAGGCTGTCGGGGAAAGAGGTTGCTGGGAGAAAGAACAGAGAGAGGCAGAGAAAGAAAAGAGTCATGAGGCAGCCGGGCCCAGTGGCTTCTTATTTTAGCCAAGTCCTTGCTTGAATGGGGTCCAGGCAGACTGGGAGAAGCATGAAATGGATACATGGGAAGGTAAGGGAAGCCATACTTAATTAATCATAATCGGTGTGTGAATGGAAGAAGACGGTTTGGGATTATGCAGAGAACGTATTCTGGTTAATATTTTCTTTCGTATACCTTTTGATTAGATTGAGGAGTTGCTAACATGTCAAACACAGATTCCTATTCAACCAATTTCTGCAGTATGTTTTTTGAGAATGTCTTGAATTACTATTAATGAATACAATAATTATTTTAAAAAAGACCATTTCGATCCTGTGTATGCTGCTCTTAAGATCCTCTGTGCAGTGTGAGCCAACACATGTGACATTGCTGTTAGATGTGTGCTCTGTTTGAAAGGTGTAGTCCTTTATGCTGAGGAGTTAATGATTCTCAGGCCAGGAGAACGAGCTGAGACATTCTAGCTTCTCACAGCAACGCTGCCTTCAAGTGCTTTGTTTGTGTGTGCTATGACGTCTGTCAGTGCGCTGGTGATTTGCACGGTACGCCTCCATATGTATTGATCTTTGGTATGTGCCTGTGTGTTTGTACAGTGTTGATGTGATGGGAGATCACTAGCCTAAAACTCAGAGTACCTTCACATTTTGCTAGTTTTGCCCCTTTCTTTGCTTCTTTCTTGATTTTTATTTATTTTTTTAAACTTTCATGCTCTTTTGAGCCATGATGTAGTTTCACACAAAGATCCCTTCTCCGGCTGTGACTGCTAAGTGGGCGATCTTTCCTTGAACTTTTTTGATGATGCTCTCCCCAAATCACTTTCAGCTCATAATTCTTTTGTAGCTTTATCCTGCGGTTAACGTGAATTCTCTTAAGTGCTAGAATAGGATAACCTTCCTTCCAGTTTTCACACTATATCCCAGCCCAGCCCCCCACCACACCAACCACCCCTTCTCACTGAATGGTAGTCATTTGGAATGTGTATAGTCCACATGGCAAAGCAGAGTGTCGTGGACTGCTCATCACTGCTACATGTCCGTTTAATATGATGTTGCAGTTCAACCTTAAAACTGCTGCTCAGGGAGTTTAAAGACAATGGAAGAATTTCTGCTAGCACTTCCTTCATTGGATATTTTCAGTCAAGGACTTCAGTGTGGCATGTGGAGGAACCATGTTACTGTATTGGTCCCCTCCCCCTCATGTTAATCCCTTAGCTAGCAGCCATGTTGGTTGAGCTCCAGCTGAAGGAGGGTAAACTCCACACTTGTACTGCTATAACGCTACATCCCCTTCATTTTGCAGGAAGCCTCTGTTTCTGAAAATTGTTCTGCGTTTTGTAAAGGGCTCAGTAATCCAGAGAAAAGAGGTTGTTTATGTGGCTGTATGTGCAGGGTACAGAAGCTGTGTGAAGATCAATAGTAACAGTGGGGGAGGTCAGGGACTCCTGTGACTCTGTAATGCTGGCCTATAAATAGCCAATGACACGGGCTGCTCATTCCAGCCACGCATGCTCCGTTTTCCTAATTTCACTGAAACATATCCATCTCCCCAGCCAAAGCCTTGTCAAAGCAAACGCCACATAGAAGTCCATCTTGTTGCAGATCTTTGTCTCTTAAGGGTGTGTTAGCCCTTCACCCCCCCCCACCCCAGCACGCAAACACACACACTTACACATAGGATTGAACAACTTATTGCAAATGTTTCTTTCCTCTTGCTTATTTATTCAAGGAAGGACAGGTCTGTCTCAGATGGTCTGCTTGGGCACAACACGTGCCACATTTTAAGTGTTGGACATGTTTCAGTACTTTGGTTGGTCCTGCATGGGAGATATCAGGGGGAGTGTATCCTGCTGGCCCTGAGGCCTCTGGGAATTCCCCCTACCATTAATGAAGGGGAGACTATGCATTCATTAAAAGTACTTTTATATGAGTGTGTATCACAAAGTCTGGGCTGTAAAAGTCACCGCATGGTTCATATCCGCTTCTGCTGAACCGACTTTAAAACGAAGCTCAGGGCCAAAAAGTGTTCCTGCTATCAGCGATCATTTCAACATTGGTATCCAACGCATATTACACCAAATGTTACAGCACAATATAAACGAGAGGAACTTAAGAAACTAGTTGAAAGTAGAACTCTGAGGTGAACAATCTTTTAGTCTTTCATGATTATTTTTCTGGTTCAACGCACCAAACTGAATTTCAATCTCAGTTTTCTTAGAACTGTTCACTAGCTTGTGATGAAGTTTAGTTGCTACTATTGAGTAAATACGTTGTCAAATGACAGATGTAAAACAATGTTTCCTGTTTTCGGTAGATTTGGTAACCTTGGGGGGAAAAAGACGACGCATTTCAAAAGATGTTATTTTGGTCAAAACCTTTTGTGATTCACTTAAGAACAACAAGTCTGCTTAACGGTGATTAAGCCTATAGCCTGCTGATGGAAGCCCTGGCATTGGCAACATTACCAAGAGGGTGGATGTGGCGACATTCCCCAGAAAGGCGGCACATGAAAACACATGCAACATGCTTATTGCCATCGGTGTCGCCAAAGACAATGGGTCTTTGAGATTTTAACTTAAAGCTTCTTTTGTTAAACGAAAAAAACCAAAAAAAAAAAAACCATATATTACTCAAAGTGAGGTACACAAATAGGTGTTAGTATTGGTCGTGAAGACTGATCATTGTATTAACATTAGTAAGAGATACTCAGCCGTATTAATAATATGGTCTTTGATAAATAATCTTTTCAAATGCAAATCAAGCTGAGACAGTGAGCCAGACTCACACAGTCGAGGCCTTCCTACATTATTTGGCAAAGTAGCATCAGATGTGGCTCATATTAGCATAACATTAACATGTAGCCTATCTTTGGTGTGGTATGACTCAATGCTAATGATTTAGCCTCCAAGCCTGGGTGTGTATTATCAAGACAGCAATGTCAACAGGTCGCCATTGTCTCGTGGATGAGCCCAATCTGCAACTCCATGCACGGAACTTTAAAGATTAGCATCACAGTGTGGCCTGCCAGGAATGCTGGGTGTGAGTCATGGAGGGTCTTAAGATGCCTGTAACCCTTTGTGAATGTGTTCGATATGTGGTGTCCATGTAGGCTACATACCAGTCATACTCCGGGAGGAGGGGGGTGCACCCATCCTCCACCCGTAGGTAGGAGAGATAAGTTAAGACAGGACGAGAAGAAGAGATATGAGGGGAAGTGTAGAAGAAAGGCTGAGAGAGGAGGGAGGGAGGCTGCCGACAGCGGAAAAGTACAGCAGATTCCTCCCACCCCCGCTCCCTCTCTCAGCTGGGCATCATTGTGATGGAAAGCCCGAAACAAAACCTGAAGGGAGAACCCCTTCAGCAGCGATCCTTGTTGCTCTGTCAGCCACTCAAAAGGCTGCTTTACACTGTACATCAGCCTTTGTGTGTGCAGGGTGTGGACAATAAGGAGATTTTGCTACGACACATCTCTGTTCTCAGCATGATGCAGCTCACATGGGGTCAAAGAGAGATGGTGGGCCCTGTTTCCCACAGGAGACCGTGACAAAGTCTTGGGACAGCACAAGACTGATTTCAGCCTAAAAAATCATGCTGCTCTTCAACATTCAAGCCCCGTTTATCTGTGTGAAATAAAAAGACCATTCCTTACAGTTCCACATGACGAGTGATGCACATCTCACTGGTATCCGCTGGGCTCCAGTGTCGGGGCATATTGGGAGCAGTGGGAAACATGTGCAGTTTGTCTTTGTCATTGATGGTCTTAAAATGCTCGACCTGCATTTCCTGGTTTGCGTTAAAGTTAGGAATGAAACCCAGGCTGACCCCTGGGAAACAATGCAGCCTTTAATGGGCCTGGGGGGGGGTGGGTGAGCGTGTGTGTGGAGGGGTGATAGAGCGTCAGGGTTTCTGAACCAAAGCTTACAGAGGGTGGCGTTCAAGAGGAAGCACTGAAGCACTCTCTATCTTGTTGCAGATTCTCTCTAAATGAGAAAGATTAAACCAAAATTACAGAATGCTCCAATCTTCCATCCAATGGTCCCAATTTCCCATAATGCAACTATATGCATCCTATATTTCCTGCATGGTAATCGCCCCCGTCTTGCAAACTCCACGAATAGATAAATGATACAATTGCTAAAGTTTGATTTGGTGATGTGGTGAGTGAGACGTCTTTTGCTGCTTTGGGTGAACTGACCTTGTAAAGAAATTACACGATGTTGGTTTTAAATTTCAGCTCTTAAATACTATTTTTATTGCATGCTTTTGTTTTTGAAGGCATTTTTTTCTTCATTCATGTTTTGTATCTCTGTCCCTGCACTGAAGTCGGACTGCTTTGTCTGAGAGGTTCGGTCACAAGTTGCAGTCTGGTAACATGTTATTGTTACCAGATTGCCACAGACTCCGGGTCACACACGCTGCAGACGGAAGCTTTACCAAGTGAAATCCTTCAGTAACTCCCATGAATATTTAATTGTCATCTACAGGCAGGAGGAGGAGGAGTTACAGGATGTGAGGATCTGAGATCAAGTGTGTGAAGGTGTGAATCAGCCCGTTTATATGGTGGCCATGCACTTGAAAGACAGGGTGATAGATTTGGCAAATAAGCCTGAGTGAAGGCAACTAATAGCCATTGTGTTTTTCCACAATGAAGGAAGTCAGGCGTTTCACGTAGGGTGGCCAGTGGAATATATGGTTTTGTGTTCCCTCAATGAGCTGACAAATGGCTGGCTGAGGATGTGACTGTCATTTATTTGATCTCCCTCATGTTTTATGATGCCAGGGTCCTTTACATGACCTCATGCTAAGTTCTACTTACAGTAACATGTGCAGAGGGGATCACTATTGAGCAAGGCCAGGGCTTTCTGCTGAAAGTGCTCTTCCGCTGTGTGAGAAGTTGGTTGGGTCTTTTTTCTCGGGCTTCATGGAGGAGTCTCTCTGAAGCTTAGCAGCTGAAAACCAATTTATTTAGACTGTGTAAACAAGCCTGAAGTTCATTCAGAGCTAACTCATAGAACGCTGTCTACCTGCTCGTACTCTGCCTGTGCTCTCATTGTTCGTCACCACAAGCTGCTACCTCAGCAGCTGCGAGTACTGACGGTAGCCAAGGGACAGGCTGTCAGGGATGCCGACTTGGCCACTTTCTTGATCGATTTAACAGCTTTTGGAGCTGGTGCTGCTGGCTACTTTGATTGCAAAGGAGTTGTCAACACTGGGCTGGTTTTAGGTTGGATCATTTCTTAATCTAGCGTACTCTCAACATTACCAACCCAGCCTTTAATTAATGCTGTGCTGTGGATCTAATTTATTCCGATGTTGAGTGGTAGGCTACATGTGGATTCTGAAAAGTGACTGATAAATATTGAAAGTTTAAAAGTGTTAAATCTGATTTGGATGTGTGGTCGGTAGTAGAAGTGGTTAAGGTTATTTTCCATAACTAATATGTCTTGTCATTCACAGAGACGGACTGTTTGCATATTGAACTGTCATTGTTTGGGAATTGAATATTTACATAATAAACAATTTCACATATAGTAGATAAATGAGCTGTAGTCATTAATAGAACATATAGAACTTATTGTTACAGCTGTACTGAACTGGCAAGAGTACTCGTATTTAAGGTATCATATTGGGATCGGTAAAACGATACCCAGCCCTAGACAGCACTGTCGAACTTTCGCCAGCATTATACGGTAGTAAATGGTGTATCAACAGCTTCCGCTTTTCTTCTCTTTTTTTTTTCGATTTTCAAAAAGAGAGCCCTGCTGTTAGAAATGATGCAGCGGCCCTGCACAGCAGCGCCAACAGCTGGAACAGTAACAGTCCAGTTTCTGCTGACCTACAAGGCCGTCAAACAGTTCATCAAAGAGGCCAAATGTATCTTTACAAATTATTTGTAGGACAACCATCTTTTAAAGGCATAAAAAGAATTTCAAAAGTAGAAAGTGATCCAACATGCTCCAGAGATCTGCTAGTCATCACTCATTCATAACGGAAAGTAAGATTATAAATGTCTGACAAGAAAAGCATCCTTGTTTTCATCTTTGAGACGAAACATGTTTGAGATGATCCAGTGGGGTTTAACCTTTTCCATAAACCTTATGTAAAAAAACACACTTTAAGATATTATAAAAAATACTTTGGAGATGAATTTTTTGAATGAATCCACATGTTACTTGTGCTCTTTTTCTTTAGATCCTGTAGATTAATGGATTATACAGTCACTGTCCTGATCATTTTATCATTATTTCTTGTTAATAGAACACGGTTTTAGAAAATGATGATGACCATCTCCACCATTTCTGATATTTTTTACACCCAACAAGAAAATAATTGGTATGGTAATAAAAAGTCATGTGTTATAGCTCTAATCATATCTTCTATCATGACTTTTGTAACGATAGAACGTTGCTTATCTCTGCAGAGCGCTTAGTTTAGGTCACACTGTGTGCTCTAGCAGCAGCAGCAGCAGCAGAGATATGTCACTGACTGGTGGGGCTCCTCTGAGTACGTAACCTCTGTGCTGTATAGAGTTAATCACCAAAATAGTTAAAGTCTAATCCCAGGATGGGCTCACTGTGTGACGCCCCATTGTCTCTGTACACTATGGCTGCCCTGCAGTCTTCTGCAGGCAGCACATTTAAACCTCACACTATTTAAATGGTAATCTGTCTTTTGGCTTTAGAAGTCTTCAATTCACCAGTGATGATCTGGGAGAGGCTTCATGCCATGAACACCCCCACCTCCTTCTAATTACCTTCAGTACATGAAACCTGCAGTCCACTATGAAGCCCCCTCTCTCTGGGAGGCTTAGCTCTCAGCTCAGTCACGTGCCTCTGATGAGCTGGCCCTTTAAATCACTTGCACACAAAACCCCTAATCCTGCTCATTTGAATATTCAAGATGATGTAACTTTGGCCTGTTTATTGTCTAAACATTGTGCCTTTTAATCAGAGATGACTGAACCATGGACCACAGGCAGGATATCAGGTTCCTTCATGTGCTGTGAGGTGAACGGTATCCTCTCCGCTGCTTCATCTATTCTACACACTTCAACGGGTTCAACAGACACACTCTGTAACACAATCGCACTCGGATGGACAAACATGGATGTAGCATCTGTGACATCGGCCGTAGGTTTCTCAGGGGTGAGTGGACTGCATGCTGCCCTCAGTGAAGTGACTCCAGTGAAGCACAGCTGACTGAGACGGTCAGTATTTTATCAAAGAAGACTCTACCAAGCATTTCTCACTGTAGTCAAACATTGTTTAGGTTAATGATAAATCCACTGATCATATATTCAACAAATGAATCCAAGCAGCTCCACAATCTATCAAACGCACAATGCCTTCATTGAAGCTTTAACTTCTTGTATTGACTGTTTGAGAAGCAGCGTTATATAGAAGTAGTACTAATGACCTCACACTGAACGGTTGGAGTCAGTTAGTACCTCTACTCACTGAGCCAGGAAAGCTGCTTGTCTGCCTCCACTATTGACTTCCCAACCACAGAATCCCATAGCAGGGCAAAGGTCCGGCCTGTGTGTGGAGCAGTTTGTTTCATTACACAAGAGTCTTACATTAAGCAGATGTCCAGGTTAATCTCCGGGCTCAGCGGGCAGCATTAACCTGCTGGACAGCAGCCTCAGACCTCTTATGTCCACTTCATTGAAAGCACACGTGCATTCTAGTGTTCATCATGACCACAGCTTCACTTTCCATTTGTCCACCCACCGACCTCCTGGTCCGGCAGGAGGATTTTACCTGCTGCTCAGACACAAGAACTAAAAGCTGCTCTGTGAGAAGAAACTGCTCACATTTTAAGGAAACATCTTGCAGTTTACAAGCTCTATTGTTAGAGTTTGCTTGCTGATCTGAAGTAACGAGGAGGTAATGTTGAAATTAAAATGGACTGTTGAAGAGGAGTCTGTTCTATAATGGAGCCATTTCAGACCTTCCTCACACTGAACATTGGTGGCTTCTGAACCTTCAGCCATGTCTACTTGAGCCCCCCATGTCATCACGTATGTTCACTTGTTGTGACCAGTTCAACCAAAAGGTTTTCTCCTTGTTTTATTTGAAACGGTTTTAAAGTGATCCAGTAATCACACTAAAGCTGCATGGCTCCTACATAACCCACAATGCAACTGGACCGCTGACGGTTGGGCCAGTGATCTGGTGTGAAATGCTACTGATAAAGTAAAGTTCAATAAAAGAACAACAAAAAAAACCTTCAGAAATGAACTGAAGAATCTGAATTTGCAGCAGTCTGCATGTACTATCTCGTACCCACCTCGAGAACCTTCTTTGTAAAATGAACCCCCACCCATCCAGTGACACAGCTATGGCATCACAACGCCCAGATGTAGCTCTTCATCGACCAACAGAAATGAAAGATGTATCCTACTAGCTGATGTTATCATTAGAAAAACTTGTGACTTTACTGGGATGGCTGTTTCCAACAGATACTCTGTAAAGCTGACTTTAGCACTGATTCTAAGCTATTCCTTCTTTTACAATTCCCATTTCACGCAGCCAACACTATAAACCCTCAGTGTCTCCTCAGACATGCTTCTCTCGCCCTGATAAAAGACCTATCTTATCAGAAGCATCAACGTGTTGCGTCAGTCTAATCCGTTATCTGGTCCTGATATGTTCCATCCCAGTCAGGCCTGGACACAGATCAGCAGCAGGCCACATTCCTGCTGCAGCCAGGCTTTGCACAGCAAGGCTATTCTCTGTAACCATGGAGTCCAACCCATCTGCTCTCTGCGTCTGTGAGCGGGGGTGTGTGTGCGCTCGTGTGTGCTATAGATCTGAAGGCTGTAGTAAGCAGAGAAGATGTGCTGCGACTTAATTCTCAGCTTCCTCAGTGAGTTTGATTATGTGCGTTGCGTAGCCTGGAGGTAGATGGGGATTAAGAGAATATTTTCTGCAGCTTTCTCAGTTTTCTGTCTTAACAGTTTGAGAGCACCTTCATGATTAGTAAAGCAGCTTCTAGAAGAAGGTCCTCAGTTGGGCCCGTCTCTCATTGATCCCCTCTCCACTCTGTCACATCCGTCTGTTCTACCAAACATCCTTCTCCCAAACGTCTTCTGGAATCATTTTCTAAGACTTCAGCTCTTTTTCTTTTGTCACTGTCTTAATGAACCCACATCACATCCAGTGTCATTTCTACTACTGCTTTTGATGTTGGCTGTTCCCGACGTCACGTTCCACACGGTGCTCCCTTGGCGTGAGCCCCCGCTCCCTCCGACCTCGAGCCCCTAAATATCCCCTCACATGTGTTCCAACTCACGGCCTTCATTTATTCCTGTTCTACCAACTTTTGACAGTTTGGGGTGATCAACAGAAAGCGTGTGCTTGTTTAGGAAGCAGAAGGTGAAGGCTAATGATTGAGACTGGAACAGAGAGGCTGCTATAGGCTGGGCCTGGTGGGGTTCAAGGCACTTGATTGGAAAATGATCCACCGACGTTAAGAACAAGCTACAAGAGGACACATTTAGGAGCTTGATGGATCAGTATTAAGCCCCCTGAATTGTATGCCACAAACGGATTGTCTAAAAATGTTGCACTTTGTCAAAATATGCTCTATCGGAGTAAAGGTCTCGGGAGGTCTTCCTCTTCATGTGATACTGCTGTTGTTGGAGGAAGAGAAAGGAGAGACTGTAAGCAAATCAGTGGTGTGGTTTTAGCTTGCTGCCTCCTCTCCTCAGAGCTGCCAAATAAAACAAGACGTCTCCGCTCCCTGTCCGGCTGCTTGTTACACCTCCACTTTCACAAAATGAGTTGGGGCTTAAGGATCCTTTTGGATTAGCCAGCGCCTGGCTAGTGCTTAAGCCCTACCCGCCCCCGTGATCTCAATTAAAATGTGTGCCTCCAGCAAGGTTTTTGCACCCACTTTTTATCCACGATATGGATGAATTAGTGTAAAGAAGTGGGTGGAAATGGTTCTAAATGCCCCCCTTCTCAAATGTTTTCCTGTCCCTCTGCAGATGATCCGGCTGACCAGCGTACTTGCCTTATCTGTGGAGATCGCGCCACAGGCCTGCACTATGGCATCATCTCCTGTGAGGGCTGCAAGGGCTTCTTCAAGCGCAGCATCTGCAACAAGCGCGTGTACCGCTGCAGCCGCGACAAGAACTGCGAGATGTCGCGCAAGCAGCGCAACCGCTGCCAGTACTGCCGCCTGCTCAAGTGTCTGCAGATGGGGATGAACCGCAAAGGTGAAGTGTGGACACATCACAGGGACATTGTTTCTGTTGTCATTTTAACCCTGTTGTAATTGTTAGACCCTGAATCCGTATTTTTTCATTATGAGACGTCTATTTACAGCCATCTGTATGAAATGTTCTCCTTTAAGATGAGACGATGGGTGTAGGGTACAAATGCATGTACTTATAGATATCACCTTAACACTTTTCCACTTAATTACCTGTATGAAGAGAATCACTTTTTGTATTTTCTGAAATCTACAGACGCAAAAACTCGTGAAATAAACACCTCAATGGGCATTTTGGAGGGTTTCTTCTATATCTTTCATTAGGCCTAAAACATCATAAAATTAAATGGATCAAACCAATAACAGTTTGGAGTCAGACAGCTTTGTATTCCATAGCAATATCTAGTTTTTGTAAACAAAAAAATAAATTGTTAGTTATACCACCTTTACAATTAATAGGCACTTTACCAGATGGTAGTTTTTGAACAACTATTACAAACCCGTCAGACTTACTATATGTCACATGAAAAAGCCAGCTGCACCCTAACCACTGGTTAGTAACCAGTGTGTTTCCTTTGGCCTAGTTTACCTCAGTGAGGACTCGAATTAGTGAAGTACAATGCTGCCGCCCAGTGGATGATGCATGTAAATGACCCCTCAGTGCTCCTTCAGCCTGATGGGCTCATTTTAGATGATATAATCTCTAAATGCTGTGATTACAGCAAGCTTGTCCTGACACATCAGGTAGATTTAATTAACTCCGGGATGTTAACAAGTTACTCCCAGGAAATAGAAAAAAACCATCTCTGCCTGCCAACAAACGATTATGTCCGAACCAGTAAGAAAAATCCTCACATGGAAAGAGCTGATGTGTTTGAGCCGCTAGGTAGAGCTCTGATACTAACCCTGAGTCATGTTGTGTTGATGGACCACATGTACTGTAGATTTAGATTCCTGTTCTTTCTTTTTTTTCCATGTAGCAATCAGGGAGGATGGCATGCCAGGAGGGAGGAACAAAAGCATCGGGCCTGTTCAGGTAAATCACCGACTACATGTTGAATAGCAGAATAGCAGAAATGTTGTTTTCGTGACATTCTCTGACCCTCTGCCAGCTCAGAGCCCCTCTATACATATTATCACGCCTCAGCCCCACAGTTAGCTCGCTGACCGTGAATGCATTCAGAGAAGCTTCCATTAAAAGACTGCTTTATTTCTAAACCCTAATGAAAGGAGGACCTCTCTGTCATTAATAGGGAATGGATTGCTGTTTCAGTATGGGTGGTGGATTGATAGAAATGAAAGTGAATTGACCCCAGCCACAGATACAAGGCGCCACACTTTCTGGCATGCTAATGCCTTTCTAAATGACTTTCATCTATGTGTTCTCACTTCGATGACCAGCAAGGATTCTATTATTTTAGGTGTGTGCATATCTGCTAAATACACACACATAACTGTTTGCCTTCTTTCTTTCTTTCTCTTCTAGTTCACTGTATTACTGTGTGATTGCGTCCTTGCCCCTCTACATTTAGTGAAAAGCAGTGGGGGTGCTAGTCAATGCTAATCAATTGAACTGAGACACACATGAGGATGTGCTGTAAGCTCCAAAACGTGCCCACTTCTGTGTGTGTGTGTGTGTGTGTGTGTGTGTGTGTGTGTGTGTGTGTGTGTGTGTGTGTGTGTGTGTGTGTGTGTGTGTAGATCACAGAGGAGGAGATAGAGCGGATCATGTCAGGCCAGGAGTTCAAGGAGGACGCCCCGGAGCACACCTGGGGCAACAACGGCGACAGCGACCACAGCTCTCCAAGCAACGGAGCCTCGGAGGGCAACCAGCCGTCACCCGCCTCCACTCTGTCATCCAAGTGAGTCGTTCATCTCAGCCGCTTAGCGCCAGCACTCGCCCCACCATTGAGATAATGAGCCGGCCCTGACAGTCTAACACCTCGTTCCCATCTCACCCAGACTTTAGTTACGGTATTCATCAGCAGAAGAATGCCTGAATATGCCGCTGCTCAGGCTCGCTGGTGATGACAAACACAAAGAACGCGCTGCGCTATCTGCTGTTCTTCTACGGAGACAAGCGCATTGTCTATCTGCACTCATCAAGGACAAATATTGTCTAGCTACACGCATGACTATTTATTTTAGTCTCATTATCAACACAGCCACACAGCCTGATAGCTATTCAGAGGAATTCTTGTTTTATCAAATCAAACCTGAGCAATAACAGGATGCCTGAGCAGCGTGGGCTTTGGTATGCAGCTCCACAATTAACCACAAAGTTTAGACTAAAAAATTGCAAATATTGTTCAATAAATAGATTAAAGCTCCAACAAAACATTAAAGGTTAGGACATGTAAAGGAATATAGGCTACGTCCACTACAGAGTTCAGCAGGTCTACGATGTGTTTAGCGTAGCTTAGCACAAACACTAGAAGCAGGGGGAGACTACTTTCTTTGCACTGGACACACGGATATGAAAGGTATCAATCTCCTTATCTGACTCTGAGTAAGATGGTAAACAAGTGTCCCAAGATATCAGATTAGTCATTTTACTATAAAAATTATTAAGTATAAATGGCCCCTATATGGCCGACTTGGTGTAACCGTTGACCTCTGTTCTTCCAGTCGCTCTGTGGAGATGAATGGCTACACGGCGGCCCTCAGGGACCAGTACATCAACACCTCCATGTCCACACACTACCAGATCCTGCCTCACCTGTTCAGCTACACTGCCCAGTCTGGCCTGCTGGCCCCCCAGCCCCGCAGCCTCTACCCACAGTCCCACCCACTGGTGCTGCAGCTGGTGGCTGCTGAAGACCTGGCCCCCCTGGCAACCCCTATGCTGATAGAAGAAGGGTGAGTCGATACATACACTAGCTACTGCGTATTCTGTGTAACAGTGCACCTCCCCAGTGAATACAGTATATGCTTAAAGGAAGCTTCGGGCTGTCCTTTCATTGGGTTTAAAGCTAATTTATTGCCACAGGGCTGCTCAATAAGATGCAGTTGTAGTCCCATTTTGCTACATAAGGGAATTTTATGGTGGTGGATGAATTAAGTCACTGAGTCTCTCAGCCGGAGGAAAGAAGCTGCTCTGAAGTCTGCTGGTTCAGCAGCTGATTCTTCTGTATCTCTCTCCAGACAGCAGCAGGTTGTGTCTGGGAGGGTTTTGTCTTTTATTATCCTTTGTGCTCTTCTCAGGCTCCTCTTGTCACCAATATCACTGGTGCTCAGTAGATGGTACCAATGATGTTCTGGGCGGTTGTAATCACCGTCTGTAGAGCCTCCTGTCCTGGACCGTGCACATCCCACAGCAGTTTGTGATGTTCCCAGTCTTGGTTTCTGTTGCTCCTCTGTAAAAGGACCTGCATTCATACTACTCACAGAACTCATGACAAGAGATCACGACACAGTTTATGTTTTACCTTATCTGACTGATTGGCAGGTATTATATCAAGCCGTGAGTATTAGTGTGGGGGACTAACGATGTGGGCATGGTGACTTCAACATTGAATACGTAATCAATGAAATGCATCATGTTAGAGGTGATCCAGAGTCAACACACCACATGTGGTTTTACACGACACGCCAATATTCTGCTCATACATCACTTCTTACCGTAGCTCTTTGTGTGCCTCAGGTACAAAGTGACACAGGTGGAGCTGTTTGCCCTGCTGTGTCGTCTGGCAGACGAGCTGCTCTTCCGCCAGATCTCGTGGATCAAGAAGCTGCCGTTCTTCTGTGAACTCTCCATAGAGGACTACACCTGCCTGCTGAGCTCCACCTGGCAGGAGCTCATCCTCCTCTCCTGCCTCACCATCTACAGTGCCCAGATTTTCGGAGACCTGGCCGATGTCACCGCCAAGTACACGCCGTCTGACGACGAGCTGCAGGGGTAAGGACTTGGGGGGGGGGGTCACAGTTTGTTTGGAAGTAGAGTTGTTGTTTTATTGCCCAAGTAAATTGTGAGATGTAACCCTCGACATTTAGTTTGTAATCATCAAACAAAGAACACAGGTACAGTATGACTTTACTGGAGGTGCTTTAATACTTACAGCTGCACTGATCAGTATTTTATACAAACATGTGAAAGGAGTCACTTGTACTTAGAAACCCACAGAAGACGATCAGCATCTCTGTAGTTCCCCTCAGCTCAATGCAGTGTTTAAGCAGCATCAGCTCATCGTTGGGCTTTATGCCCCAAGATGCAACAATGATAGAAACTCAGATACACAAGAATAGACCAAGAGGAACAGGCTGATGAGAACTTCATGTAATGCAAACATGGAACAAAACAAACAAGCGTGAAAGCATGGTCACAATAATTATAATCAAAACTTTGTATGATGATGTTGTACATTTGTGTATCAAGCAACTGTTTCAGGCATAATCTGGAGGCCACAATAGAAGTTAAACTAATGCTGATGTGCTCTTTTAAAATAATAAAAAAACACAAGGTGCATAGAAAGGAAAAACGCAAGTTGCTCATTGAAAACAATTTTCTGTTTGATCATGAAAGAAAGTGAATAGTGCTTTAAACAAGATGTTTGTGAGCGGACTGACATAATCCACCAGACATTAGCATGTGGTAGCTAGCCACATAGTTATGTCTGACATCTGCATTTGCATTTTGGAAGCATGACTGAAGAAAGGACCCTCATTCACGTGTTGGTAATATCTCACCTACGGGGACTCATATTGCCTCCGATCCCTTTGTTCGTACATTAACATCCACAAGATATTAAACTCGAGATTTGTCTCGGGGAGGCTCGCCAACTCAATAATGTATGATATCAGGAATTAAATGTTCCTCACGGCAACAACGATCCTCTGGAAATACGAGACGTTAAACTTTGTGAGTTTGATAGTTTTCCTCTCAAGTGTTGTTGTTGGATGAGGGCCAGTGAAGCGGTCCGTGAACAGGAGGACTCCTCAGGACAGCGCTGTGGCTAGCACCGTCTGCCATGTGAAATACACGCATGTCCCACGCTCTGTAGAAGAGGATGTGTGGGGGTTTGGATCTGTGTAAATCAGACGGGAATTATCTGACCTCATGACACAGATTCTGCTAATATACGGTGCCGTTCTGCTGCTTCGGTCAATTTGCCTGTAGTTTAGGAGAGAACATGTGATTTACAGTGACAGCACTGAAGTGTGTGAGAGAGATTGGAGCTGTGAGAGAACGGGAAGTGAGCGTTGATCAGTGTAATTAAAATGTGTGAATATTTCTAACTCCTTGAGAGAGCTGTGGGATTAGCAGGACGTTTGTTAAGCCCTTTTTAGATGTGACGTGTTCCCTCCTGAATGTTTGCCTCGTTCACTGAAGCATAGCAGCTTAAGATAATGGGGCTTGAGGTTTTTTTCATTTTTTGACAGTGGATTTCGATGTGAACATGTGGACAGTAAACCTACTAAAGCTCTAACTGGTATAAACCCTGACCCTCTGAAGACATATTATTATTGTATATGGCTTTCACCACATCATCTTTACACTATTATTGACACGTCTGTGTCTGATTCCTCAGCTTCAGTGAGGATGGTATGGAGGTTATGGAGCGGTTGATATATCTGTTTCGCAAGTTCCACCAGTTGAAGATCAGTAATGAGGAGTATGCCTGCATGAAAGCCATCAACTTCCTCAACCAAGGTAACAACTCCAGCGCTGCTGTTCCTGAGCTCAAGCCTCTCTTAGCCCTCTCATATTCCCCTCACGTCTCTGTACTTTCATCTGTATCTCTGCAGATATCCGAGGACTGTCCAACACCTCCCAGCTGGAGCAGCTCAACAAGCGCTACTGGTATGTGTGTCAGGACTACACCGAGTACAAGTACCCGCACCAGCCCAAACGCTTCCCCGAAATCATGATGTGTCTCCCGGAGATCCGCTGCATCGCAGGTAAGACCTGGAAGTTCTGTATCATAGTTCATGGTGTAATGATGCTGCTAACTTTAATGTATTCTTGTTTGAATACTAAGAATGCTACGGTTCAACAAGGATTCATCTTATCTAGGATGAGCTCCAATCATAGTTTAGCAAAACTGGGTTAAAAATGAGTAAATCCTGATTCTAAATGAAGCAGAGCTCTGTTACACAATTAAACTAATCTCTGTTCATTAAATAAAAATGAAAGCTCAATATGGAGATTCTTGCTTACCCAAATTAAATAAATGTACCTATAAGTAGGCTATAGAAGAGGGGGCTGCTCCATGTGTCTTTAAAAAAAACAAAAAACAATGGAGCAATATGGCTAAATAATACAATAATAATATCAAATAAACAGCACAGTGAGGAAACCACCTTTTCACAGTCTGTTGGTCCAATCGTCCTGTTTTCAACTGATCTCAGGAGAGAAACTCAGCGGCAGCAGCACTAAACTCAGTTTGATTAGTTTCTCCTTAAACTCCCTTCAAGGAACGTCATTATTTAGCTCATTTTAAAAGTTCAACCTCCTCAAGTGTAAGTTTAGAGTAACAACTAAACTGAAGTTTAAAGAAATTTAAATGCATCTTTTAAAAGCTCGGTTCAACAGGATTTAATCTGCTTTAGAACATAAATCCTTGTTGGTGAAACCCAGCCATGATGTTATTATAACTGTCGTATACATACAGGTACATGAATTAAATTGGATTGCATTTTACCCATCCTAAGTCTTTTATTTCTAGTGGCTTTTGTCCAGTGTTACATCGCTAAATAATGGGGCTATATGGCTCCAACGGTCAGCCAATAACCAATGAAAAACCTACTGCAGCTTGTGTTCATAACTTGTGTCCATTAATTAATGAGACCGTTTAATTAGCTGTTGTTTGCTGTTAATGCCAGCGCTAGACTTTCAGCATGTTTACCTGTGATCAGGATCAATTCAGTGTGAGAGTCAAACCTGGATGTATAAAGAGAACTGGAGACAATTGAACTGCATTTTATTGAAAATACAATGCAAATGAACAGATGTCTCCTTCCCTATGGAAGTCTATGGGGGGGGGGGGGGAGTCTTTATGGGCCCCATGGCCTCCCGTGACGGACCCGGAAGTTCTAATTCCAACGTTTGGCCATGTTGTAAGTCGCTTTGGATAAATGACTGTAATGTAAAACGTGCTTCACAGCCTGGTGTCTTCCTGGGTTCTTGCTTCACACTCACCGCTCCGAGTTTGCTGCTAGGACACACTTCATTTCAATTCCTCAAATTCCTTTTTTTGGGGGTTTGTTAAGTTACTGTCTATGAAACTCAACACTTCCAACAGCTCAAAGGGCGTGACCCC